AGTGCTTTGTACCAATTACCTCATTTAATCCTCACAACTCCATGCAGTAAATAATGCTGTGGTATCCTAAAGTCACCCAGCTAGGAGGTGGATGAGCCATTACGTATTTGAAAATAGGCAGCAAGGTTCCAGGATCCAGCTCTGAGCCTCCATGGGGGACAGGTTCTGTGAGCAGCTCTGACACCCATGGTGGTTGGAATTTGGATTGCTCACCTAATCTTTATGCACCTCATCTGCAAAATGAGGGGTCTCACCCACAAAAACTCATAAGGCATTCTCTTCTAAAAGGCTGTCTTGTTGATAAACCCTACAGTCAGAGTAACAGAGAAGTATTATGATACATTGTCATTCCAAAAATTCGTATTGGAATACATTAGAAAACTTGTTAAATAGTTATATCCCTAAAACAAAATTTTGAAATGCAGCTAGTGGATCAATAAATTAATACATCTGTATATAAATATTTAAAGCTAGAAATTATATTTAGTGAAATGAAGACAACCCTGAAATATTGACAAATTACATGTAAAACAGCACTGAGGCCCAGCCTGCGTGGCTCAATGGTTGAGCACCTGAGCATTGACCTATGAACCAGAAGGTCCCTGTTCTATTCCCAGTCAGGACATATGCCTGGGTAGCAGGTTCAATCCCAAGTAAGGGGCATGCATGAGGCAGACAATCAATTACTCTCATCATTGATGTTTCTATCTCTCTCTCCCTCTCCCTTCTTCTTTGAAATCAATAAAAATATATTTTTAAAAAATTTTTTAAAAAGCACTGAGTAGTAGCTGCAATAAATACATCTTGTTTCTGAATTTATTTATGATTAATTACTACTTTTTAAGTATACTGCTATAAAACAGGCTTCAAAATATTTCTAAAAACTGTTTTACTTATTTTAAATTATATCTTAAAATGTAATTATTAATGATGTTATAATTCCTATGACAATTTCTCACTATTAATAAGCTCAAAAGGATTTCAAATGAGAATAGAAAATGTGTATGAAATTATATACAGAAATTAGAGGACAGGTGCACGAAATTCATGCACTCAGGGGGGGCGACCCTCAGCCTGGCCTGTGCCCTCTTGCAGTCTGGGAGCCCTCAGGGAATGTCCAACTGATGGCTCCTATAGGGAGTGGGCCTAAGCTGGCAGTCGGACATCTTTAGTGCTGCAGTGGAGGCAGGAGAGGGTCCTGCCACTGCTGTTGTGCCCGCCTGTGAGAGCTCACTGACCACCACGGGGCAGCTCCTGCTTTGAGAGCTCACTGACCACCACGGGGCAGCTCCTGCTTTGAGCGTCTACCGCTTGGTGGTCAGTGTGCGTCATGCAACTGGTTGTTCCACCGGTTAATTGGCATATTAGCCTTTTATTATACTAGCATAGGATACCTGGCTTTTTAGAACAGATTTCTCCCTAAATTTGATTTTTAACTATTTGTAAATTAAATCATATTCTCTCTTGACTTCCAGCATGTTTAGTGATGATTTAGCTACTTTTGGCTTTACAATGTACATAACTTCTAATATACTTAGTTAAAAATTACTCTCCCTCTACTCCTACTAATGCTAGCTCTTTATTTTTAGGTAAAGCAGATAAAAATAATTAAACGTACTAGGAAATTCTGCAATTCATTCTAAATCTGTATCTAACAAACCTGGCTTATCAAACCTACACATGTATAGAACACACACACATCACAGTACCTGATTTTCTACATTCAGTGTAGGTGTCATTTAAAAAATACAACCTGATAGCATGGTGGAAAGCACCTCACTTTGAAAGACAGGCAAACAAGGGTGTGGATCTTTGTTCTACCCGGTGCTTGCTCTGTAGCCTTTAGCGTTGAAGTGCTACATAAGCTTGCTTTCTCATCTGAAAGTGGCTTCAATATTAAAACAAATCCGTAAAGCTAAAGTAAATGCAAACTATCTTTGGCCATTAATTGTAAACTATATCACACAGTTTAAAAAATACTTAAAATAAGGTCAGCAAAGCATCTTTAATATTATTTAGTGGATATGAGGAACTTTGAAAAAATACTTCTAAGTAAAACAGCAATTGCAAAAATGTAATTTCACCTTTTATATCCGCTCAACCATCTGGGAATATTTTTTCTTTTAATGTTTATTCCAAATCAGCCAAATACTTTAAATTCTAGATTGTCTTTAAACTGAAAGTTAGTAAACTATGTTTTAAGTATGTTCAAAATAATGGCCATTTTTATATACAAAGAAATTAAGAATAAGAGAAACTGTAAAATTTTAGCTATGTAAAATTTCAAGTGAGGTCTTTGATGCTGGACCAGCATTTTCACTGGTTGCCACTCAATGGCCTGTTTGGTGCTAAATGAGGAACCAAACATATCGATGGTGCTGGACACAAAGTAGGTATGCCACCACAAGGAACATACTCTTCTATGGGGCCCCACCAAACCTGTTTGCATTATTGTACCCTTTACCACACATTCCCTTTAAAATAGTGGACTCTCCTGACATACAGAACAGATGACTCAGATTGAAAATAGCTTCTACAGTGTATGTTTGGCTGATTTTTGAAGAAGCAATAAAATACGGGGGAAGGAAGTGGGGTGATGGAGTTGAGACCAAAGAAAAGATTTTAAAACATTCTTATAACTTAAAGAGAAATGGTCACAATTTGTTGTATACTGTAAAAGAGCATGGTGTTGAAGCCAGACAAATGCGAATTTACAGCCCGCCTTCTCATTTACCACACATATAACTTATGAATGAAGTCTCTCTGAGCCTCAGTTTACTTCTCTGTGAAATGGAAATTAAAAGATTGTCTCGCTCATAGGATTGATCTGTGCAATAAATGAAATAAAAATGAAAAGCAACTAAGTGTTACTTATTGTTGTTACATAAACATAATAAATGAGTTTTTATGACGTTGCATAAAAAACTGTTGCTAATAGGAGCTTGGAATAAACATATCTAAAAAAAGAATAGAAAATAGCTTCTAGAGAACTTATCTAACAGAACATCCACTCATGACAAAAAATCATGCACGGTCAATCCTTGCAGAAAATGACATTTATTTGAACTCCCTTTCCTTTTACAGGGGACAGTGCTGCTTTGGGCTCTGGCAGTAAAAGCAGAAGGGTTAAACTCCTGACCTCATTCTACTTCAGGGACTAAATGAGCATACCACCCATTAGGAAGGCAGGGATCCCAGTGTGGAATTAGGCAAAACATTAGTCACTACAACGTGAGGTCTCTCACCTAAGAATCCTTTGAAATTAAATAGTTGAGTCATATCAGATGATATGTGAACATCCATAGGTATGTTCTGGAGTGTCTGAGACTGTAGAGAGGACGCAAGCAGGAATGTGTGCTGTAGGCTAGAACATGCCTGTCTCCATCAGCAGTGTATACCACAATGTTCACCACTGATCATGTTCGTAATTACACATGTCAACACACATCCTTGAGTGTAGACATAGACCCTTCCTTGTGGTAGCCACATTTAGAAACTCTAACTTAAATGAAATCCCAAGGTTGTGAAAGCAGCCCATTTGAGAAGCAATTCAGAAAGCCGAGGGATTCATTTAATAAATATTCCAGCCTGCATCTCAAGCTCTATTACATCACAGTATATGGTAAAAGTCTGGCTTTGCATCACCTCATTCACCCATTTATATTCCATAGGTGTCATTAGCTTATATCATAACCAAAGGACCATACACAGTAAGTGTGCGCTTCTCAACATATCCTCCCCTAAACCAACAGGAGCAGCATTAGTGTGTTTTGTGCACGCCTGCCTTCCTCCAGCAGGGCCCCAGTGTTCCTCTTGGATGCCTAGTGCCATGCTGCACAGCCTCTCCGGCAGTTTAATCAAAGAAAAGTATAATTACACTAGCTGCTAGTGACTAGCAGGATGCTAATTTTGAAAAGATTATTAGCCAAGCCACAGTCGCTTCATTACTCTGCACTTCAGAGGCCAACAATGAACACGAGGGATCCTAAGTATTATTTGTTCTTCCAAAGGGAGCAAGAGGACCCGCTGGGTAATAGGAAATTCTGTCTGCCCAAGCAGGTGCGAGTGTCAAGCGAGGCACTGAGCTTCAGGCTGGCCGGTAGCTCATTCTTTCCCTGCAAAATCTGCTGCCTAAAACTTTTCCCAGACCTTACGTGGCTCGTCGGAGACTGCTCTGTGAGCTGCTTCGGAACCGCCTGGAGGCTCCTGCGAAATGCACTGCCACATGGGCGCGCCCACAGCTGCAGAGGCTTCTGCCTGCTGGGCTCGGAGCTGTTCCTCTTTCTTGGCTCCTTCTGCCTCGGTCGCTGGCAGCCGGGCACCCTTCCACTGCCCCGCTTCAGACGGTATTTGGGGGAGCTCTTTGGCTCGCACGCGCCCGCTCACGCCCTCTCGGAAGAAGCCGCTGCACGCCCCTCCCCCACTCCCACATTTCGAACATTAGGCACCATTCCAAGAGGGGCCAGCGGCACTCCAAAAATCACGGCCATGTTTTGCTCCAAACAGACACCATCCAACAACTCCACAAGTCCCCAGGGCGCTGGGTGCTGTAGCCAAGGCCAAACCACCTCTCCAAAGTGAACGGACATCCGTAACACCGCCCAACGGTAGCAAACGCTATATCCTGCCATAACGCAAAGATGTAAGAACAGCTAAGAAGCCCAGAAAGCTAAGACAGCAGGTGCGGTCGTCTTCTCCAAGCGAATAATGTTGCCCTTAACAAATAACCTAAAACCCCACCTTCCCAAGAGAAAATCCCCAGATTTACCCCTTTTCAAACCCCCATTTCAAACGCCTCCTTTGGGGGGATGCAGTCCGGGTTTGGCTCCTGTCATCACTCTGCAAAGTGCCCGGCGGGCGGGTGTCACGCCTGGGTAGCGGGCTGAAGTCCCCGCAGTTCTCCAGGCAGCAGAGCTGGTGGCGCCCGAGAACTGGGGACCAGCGGAGCCACCTCCCCGCCTCCCGCGCTCGCCGCCGCCCCGACGGGCCCAGGCACTCACCGTCCCGCGTGTCTTCCCCGCGACTGCAGTTGCTGCAAATGTGTTTGATCTCCTTGCCTAGTTGACAATGGATCACAAAGGACACGTTGTTGTTGTTGGGGGCGGGCTCCTTCAGGGGCTTCATCCTCAGCAAATAAAAAGCTTTCTTTTTGGGTCTCTGGGCGCTCGCGCCTGGCACCGCGCCCTCCCTGCAGCGCGGCGAGCGGAGCGCAAACCTCCCGGGCTCCGCAAGGCGCGTGGGCTCCGCCATCCAGCCCCCGTACGCCCCGGGGCACGGCGCTGCTCCGGCCCCCGCGCGCTGCCACTCGCACCCCACTGCCAGGCCAGCATGCCCCCGCCCCGCGCTGCACCCGCGTGTCTACAGCGACCACGGCGGGTCGGGTCAGGGGAAGGCGCGGGAAGGGTCTTGTCCTCGCTGACCTCGCTGACGGAGCCAATCCGTACCCCAGGGCTGGAGGAAGGTTTCCGGAAATACTCCTCAGTCCCTCCCGCCCCTCGCGCCACAGCCTCCCCTGGCAGCCCCACCCCTCAGTAAACCTCAGCCCCAGCGATTGGAGCCCGCTGGTTTAGCAGCTACCTTCACTCTCTCTGGAGCTCAGGGCAGACGCCAGCCTCCCCCTCCCCTTTTCCCCCCAGCCTCACGGAGCCAAAGGAAAGCTGGAGGTGCCACACAGAGAAGGCAGCTAGCTGCGCCGGGAGCCCTGGAGAGCAAGCGCCTCACAAATGACCCTTCTCTGGTGGGTCCATCCCACAGTCTTGGACTCTCAGTGGAGCCCGCAACCTGTTACAATATAATTGATGCTTTCACCCTCAACAGACATTCCCCAAACTGAAAGGGTCCTTACACCGGTGTCATTAAAACTTTGAGTAAAAAGGACCAGAAGAGGTTTGATCAAAACTCAGAAACAACTTGCAACTCTGGAATCCCAGCTAGTCTGGCAGAAGACTCCCCAGCTGTTTTAGCACAGTGCACAGCCTTAGCAAGGCAGTGGCACCAATGGCTCCGTAATAATAGCAGCCGCAAGTTATAGAGCTTCTTTGCTCTGCACTTTAAAAAGAAATCACACTGTGTCTGTACAATAATCCTGACTCTTGTATTGTGAATCCCACGTCACCCTTTAGAGACTAAGTTTAGAAAAGCCTCATATCACAATCACCTTGGGTGCTCATTCTAAGAATAGGGACTTGGGGGCCTCAAGCCCTCAGATTCTGGTTTAGCAGGCCAGTTTAGGGGCCAGGGATGTGTAGCTTTAACAAGCTCCCCAGTGATCTTTTTTTCCCTTGAATTCTTTATTTTTTTAAAGTATTACATGTCTCCTTTTTCCACCATTGACCTCTCCCTGGCACTCTCACCACCCAGAACATGCCCTCACCCCCCTAGTGTCTGTGTCCATTGGTTATGCTTATATGCATGCATACTAGTCCTTTAGTTGATCTCTTCCCTCCCTCTTCTCCCACTGCCACCCCCCCCCCCTTCATCTTCCCTCTGAGGTTTGACAGTCTGTCCAATGCTTCTCTTGTCTCTGGATCTATTTTTGTTCATCAGCTTATGTTGTTCATTATATTCTACAAATGAGTGAGATCATGTGATATTTATCTTTCTCCAACTGGCTTATTTCACTTAGCATAATGCTCTCCAGGTCCATCCATGCTATTGCAAATGGTAAGAATTCCTTCTTTTTTACAGCAGCCTAGTATTGCATTGTGTAGATGTACCACAGTTTTTTAATCCCCTCATCTGCTGATGGGCACTTAGGCTGTTTCCAAATCTTGGCTATTGTAAATTGTGCTGCTATAAACATAGGGGTGCATATATCCTTTCTGATTGGTGTTTCTGATTTTTTGGGATATATTCCTAGAAGTGGGATTACTGGGTCAAATGGCAGTTCCATTTTTAATTTTTTGAGGAAACTCCATACGGTCTTCCTCCCACCAGCAGTGCATGAGGGTTCCTTTTTCTCCACGTTCTCAACAGCACTTGTCGTTTGTTGATTTGTTAATGATAGCCATTCTGACAGGTGTGAGATGGTACCTCATTGTCATTTTGATTTGCATCTCTTGGATGATTAGTGACTTTGAGAATGTTTTCATATGTCTCTTGGCCTTCTGTATGCCCACTTTTGAAAAGTGTCTATTTAGGTCCTTTGTCCATTTTTTGATTGGATTGTTTATCTTACTTTTGTTAAGATGTATGAGTTCCCTATAAATTTTGGGGATTAGACCCTTATCAAATATAACATTGGCAAATATGTTCTTTCATGCAGTGGGCTTTCTTGTTGTTTTGTTGATGGTTTCTTTTGCTGTGCAGAAGCTTTTTATTTTAATGTAGCCCCATTTGTTTATTTTCTCTTTAGTTTTCATTGTCCTAGGAGCTGTATCAGTAAAGATATTACTACAACATATGTCTGATATTTTACTGCCTATGGATTCTTCTAAGACTTTTATGGTTTCCCATCTTACGTTTAAGTCATTTATCTATTTCCAGTTTATTTTTATGTATGGTGTAAGTTAGTGGTCTAGTTTCATTTTTTTTGCATGTATCTGTCCAATTTTCCCAACACCATTTATTGAAAAGACGGTCTTGACTCCATTGTATGCTCTTGCCTCCTTTGTCAAATATTAAATGAGCATACTGGCTTAGGTCGATTTCTGGGTTCTCTGTTCTGTTCCATTGGTCTATATGTCTGTTCTTGTGCCAGTACCAGGCAGCTTTGAGAAAAGTGGCTTTGTAATATAGCTTGATATCTGGTATTTCCCCAGTGATCTTGATGCAAAACATAAATGGGGAAACAGTTGTTTGCAGCCAAGTGTGTCTGACTCTGAGCCTCTGTCTTCCCACCACTCCCACTCCCTGAGATCCACAACCCCTACCCTCCTCCGGCCTACTGAAATAGTGTCAGTTAAAGGATGCGCTATCACTACCAGTTGTTTCCAGAAACTCCTCCAAAGTCAATTTCATAATACCCTGTGACTGACACTTCCACAGAAGGCAGGCCACTGCTAGTCTTTCCTCCAAATTCTAACTTTATTGCACAGCTCACAGGTAAAAAGATCAGCAATCCACTGAGGATATTAAATTCTGTGTTACAATATGCTTTTGATCATTCCACTTCTACCATTCTGTCATTTATGGTACTTCTCAACTGCAAAACGTTCTGCTGAAATCATCACATTCAGTTTCATTTCCACACTGTAGTTAGGAACATCAGGTGTCCAGCCACCATAGCCTGCTCTAAAGGACATGTCAGGGACTGAAGTGAGAGTCAAGTGTTGGACTTGTGCTCTCTTTAATTAGATCACGACCAAGTCTCTCCCGGTGCCTCTCAGGGCCCCTCCCTTCTTGCCTGGATTACCAGCCAAACCAGCCACAGGTAAATCTCGCTGTATCTGCTCATGTCAGATTCATGTCAGTCGGTCCCTGGCTAATTAATAGGCTTATTAGCAAGGGACCCATTTGTTACGAGGGAATTTATTGCATTGTGTCATAGGCAAACACTTATTATTCTCTTTTTCTAATCCTCAGGTCTCTTCCCCAAGCTGTGTTTCCTCTTAACTTACTTCTTCATTACATCTTTTCTTAAATGAGTTTTTAAAATTACATGCCTTACTCTCTGCCCCACAGGTCAGAATACTGGGCCTGCATAAACCCCGTAGGGTTTTATTAAAACACCTGAGCCTGCAGTAATTTTTTATTCACTCACCAGATACTAAACCAGACCTAAGGCCTCTGGAGGTCTCTGACTTAAATGGCCAAATGGCATTGTAGCATAAAGAACTCTGACACAAGCAGCAGCTGAGGCTCAAATGTTAAAGGAGATGGCCCACAATTGTGGGGGGCTTTTTATTCATGCTAAGTATGTAAAAGCACTAAAATCTACCCAAAAGGTTGTGGGCTAGATTCCCAGTCAGGTCACATACCTAGTTGTTTGTTTGATCCCCATTGGAGCGTGTAATGGAGGCAACCGATGGATGTTTCTCTCACATTAAGGTTCCTCTCTCTCTCTCTCTCTCTCTCTCTCTCAACTCTCTATAAGCATATCCTCAGGTGAGGATTAAAAATAAATAATTAAACAAACAAACAAAGTAAGGTGTACCTTCAGAGGGCGATTCCCTTGTTAGGTGATCCATCTTCCTAAACTGTCTTCCCTGAGTCTACAGCTTCTAACTCTGTAACTGTGTGTCCAATATAATATTTACTAGCCACATGTAGCTATTTGCACTTAAATTAATTACAATTAAGTTAAATTTCAGTTTTCCAGTTGGACTAGCCATGGCTCAAGTGCCCATAGTCACATGTGCTCTAGAAGTGGCAGAACATTTCCATTGTCGCTGAAAGTTCTGTTTGACATGCCACTCTTAAAGATGCATGGATTTCAGTGTCAGAAGCTGAGCAGTGTTCTCTCCCATTGCTACAACAGACGGTGGATGGGGAGGGGACCCGATGGGAGGCGTGTGCCCTAGTGCTGGCAGCAGTCTGCAAGATGGTGGCTGAGTCTGGCGGCTTCCAGCACCACCTTTCCTCTGACCCTGTGCAGGCAGTGGGGCAGATGTGCACACAAATCTGGCATTTTTTTCTTCTTGACCCTGCTCTGTACCCTGAACATTGCCTCAGTGAAGACTTCTTCTGATACCACTACTATAACGTCCCTATAACTCTCGATGACAAGAGATGTCTTACAATCTGTGTTTTTCTCATCCCATAAGACAAAACTATATTTCATTATGATCCTGGCATTATGATTCAGAAAAAAAATGTAGGATTCTTTTTTTTTCAACTTTTAGAAAGGTAGGGAAATATTGAAAGGAAGGACAGTCCAAAATATTCTATCACTTATAACAGGGTTCTCAACATAGGGCCTATGTAGCTTGCATGGGGTTTTTACCCAGATGACCTGAATGGGAGAGAGGCCCCTTAGCTGCCTGGCAATCTCATTCCCATCTTTTCTTTAGGATACACTTAACTTGTAGGACCCCTCCTTGAAACTTACTGGGGTGCTAAGACCTTGCTATGCCAACTTGCTAGGTCTTAGCAAGATCCTGGATCCTGGGAGAAACGCAGCATTTCAAGCTCTACTCTGGAACCTACATTTTACTAAGACCATCAGGTGGTTTAGAGGCACATCAGGGCTGAGAAGTACCCCTGGCAGCCAGAGCAATCATAGTATTACATGACTTCCAGTGGAATGCACACTTTGGTTCTGATGTAAATAACGAATAGGACCCCTGATCTCATAGAACCTAAAATATAATAAAAGAGAGGATCCACTCAATGAAAGGACACAGAAGAATAACCAAACACACCCAGCTGAAAGCATGGGTGCAAATTTGTAACCAGGAGTAGCCATGGAGAAATGCGCCTTTAATAGCTGAATGGGAGCCCAGGGTAAAGGGAGTTCTCAGTGATGACATGGAAGAGGTGGAGTGGTGAGGAGGGCTTCACTGGGGAAGTTGATCTGAAGCAG